GCCCGCGCCCCGCCCCCGCCGGGCGCGCGCGCCGTCCGTCCGTCCGTGGCTCGCGCGATGTGAGCTGTTCCCAAGCGGGCTCCCGAGGGGTAGCTACATCCCCATTCTCTCCTGGGGCCTCCAGCCCGGGACGATCACGCCAGACCGGCGCCCGGCTACCAGCGCACCGCTCAACCGCACCGGGACGCACTCCGCGAGTCTGAGTGTCGCTGGCTGAGGAGACGCGCCGCCGGGCCCTGCGCGGCTCCAGCCCCGGACACCCCGGGGCTACTGCGCCGCGCCTCTCGGCGTAGGAGCCTGCCCCGGCCGCGGCCTCCGCGGACTCTGCCCAGGACTGTGCGGCGGCAGTGCGGATGGATCAGCAGGAGGGGGCTGCGCTGCGCCGAGAGGCCCGTTGGACTGGGGGCACAGACGGGCACAAGGCGCACTCCTGCTGCCCACCTTTACTGTCCCAGGAACCCCGACCACCTGCGGGAGGGCTCACCTGAGCAATAGTGAGCATCAGTTGACTTTTGGGCGCTGGTAGACGAAGGTCCGCAGGGAACCGGCCCAGCTGTCCCGGAGTCGACGTTGTCGCCCAGACCACAGCGGAGTCACTGCCAGAAAGGGTTCGTAAGCTCGGCAGGTGCGGGGCGCCCGACACCCCTGGCTCCGGAGTCTGCTGAGGGAGCCGGCTGCACTGCGTCCGCGCTGCGGGTTGAGCCCGCCAAGACTGGATTGGGCTGGCCTGACCCTCCCCTGCTAGAGGCAGAATTGTTCGCAAAGTGATAATGTTATCTCCACTTCCCTATCACAGACATTTCCTAGGACAAGACCCTGGCAAAGTTAAATAGAAGCGGCTCCTCCCACGTTGTATTCCTCTGTGTACACATTGTACAGTTTTTTATACCCTTTTAAAACATGGGAATGGGTGCAATAAAACATGTCAGAGAGTAATTCGATGACATGATGATATCCCTGAGTTGTTCAAGTTCTGAGGGGCTTCCCAACTGTCACCTCGTATGCAGCATTTGTAAGACCATCGTGTGTCCATTCAACACTTACGGAGATGGGTGGATGAAGGATCTAAAGTCTCTGTCCTTCGTGGTCAGTCTTCTTTCCAGCTGCCCCCTCGCCACTTGCATTTCTGGGAGAGTCACACACTCAGCTTTAAACCCAGGGTAGAGGTGGCAGAGTCTCAGCCATCGCTCCTGAAGATGGTTTACTGAAGAAGAAGGAAAAAAAAAAAAAAAAATCTAACTCTTCTAAGAGAGCTAAACATTTTGATGAAGTTTTAAAGAAAAATGTCAGCTATAAAGCATGAAATTGGGTTTGCCTAAAGCCAGTAGGAGGTAGTCTCCCCTGAGGCCAGGACTGCCCCTCCCAGGCTCCAGGCCCCACCACCTGTCCCCCAAGGCTTCTTTCCTCTGGGGATTTCACCATGCTCCCCTCCTGGGGAGCCTCAAAAACCAGACTCTGGATTCTCTGCATTTCTTCCTCTGCACGTCAGCTCCTACTGCAGTCATCCTAACAGCAGTCTTACCTGTTTTCCTCTAAGAAAAATAAAAGGGGCAGAATTCAAAAGCATAGCAGCTCTGAGGATTTGAGCTTGCTGGCTGACCTTGCCTGGTGCTTGTATCTACAGTATTTACTTTCGAATTTAGCAAAAGGAGTTTCGTGCCCTTAACAAACCACAGCAAGATTCAACCTAAAGACAATGTGTGTGCACTGTGATAAATCTGAATGGCTAAATTAAGTAAGGGCTTATATTCCCACAGTCTTTCCCTGTTCTACTACCAACCCTCTTTCAATGTAATACCTTTAAGCTGGCTGTGGTGGTAAATAAATGTCTGTAATATCAGGACTCTGGGAGGCTGACACAGGAGGATTTCAAGTTCAAGCACAACCTAGGTGACTTAATAAGACCCCATCTCAAAGAGGGCTGGGAATGTAGCTCAGAATGGAGGCTCTGGGTTCAATTCCCTACCCCAAACAAATGTACTTCTTGTATATCAAATGAATATTCATCATTTGGGACAGGTTGTCATTGATGGTGTGTACTGTTGGGGGCATTCTGTCAGACTCAAAAGACCCAAAGGGCTTTTGTTAATTTCATGACGAGGAGCAGAGCTTGGCAGCAGGTGCTCAGGATCTGTGAGCAGTGCTCTCAGGGAAAGCAGGAGGGGCAGTGGCTCTGGATAAAGCTTGGGCAAGTCAGCAAGGGCCTCAGCAAGGGCCTCAGCAAGGTGCACAGCAAGGCCCAGGGACCGACTGCCACGTGTCCAGAAAACTGCCACACCTCTGCCAGGTGCAGCTGATCCACTTACATAACATGTGCTTGCATGGTGTGTCATTTTGTGCCCAGTCCTGTTTGCTTCTGAGAGGGGACATTGTCACAAGCAGTGGAGCATACGGGCGTGCTTCACCTTTCTTTCAAACCGGCAACCTTTCACAGTGAAACATGTTTGCATATGGTGTTGGGAGACAAATAGGAAGTGCCAAGTCCAGCGAGGGTTCAGCTGCAGCTCAGAAAGCTGGGTCATAGGCCTAGGTCTTGTAGGAAACCAGTAGTCCTGATAGCAGGAAAACATGTATTCCCTTAAGTGAAATCCAAAAGAACAATGTAAGTTCTTAAATAATGTGCTAAGTACCATCGTGTAGCTTAGGACCACGTACTATCCCTAGGAGCCCAAGAAGAATCTACCTAATGATCAACACAGTTCTTCCCACACATTGGACTCTACCCTGTGCTCCCTTCTGCTCTCGCGTTGCAGAAGAATATTATGTTTACATAATGAGACCATCCTCAAGGTACAAGACAGCCAAGCTGGGATTTTACATAGGAAACGGTCCTAAGTATAATGTAAAGGTAGAGCATTTAAAATACTGCACTGAACCCAGCCATGATGAGACATGCCTGTAATCCCAACACTTTGGGAGGCTGAGACTGAAACATTACAAGTTCAAACCCAGCCTTGGCAATTTAGCAACTTAATGAGACCCCGAGGTCTCAAAAGGACTGAGAATATAGCTCAATGCAAAAGGCCTGATTTCAATCCCCAATACCACCAAAAAATCTCAAAATTCCATTTTTCTCATCTGAAAATATAGGGATAATGAACCCCAGTGGCCCATGGTGAGAACGCCTGAGATTTTGTACTACAGACCAGCAGATGGCCAGTGTCTACCATTTTCTCTTACCTTCAAGTAGAAATTGGAATTTTATTTCCAGCTACCACGCAGAACCTGGCCTGAGGCAGGGGCTTCATAAATAGCTCAGGAATGAATAAGAGTGGGTGGATGGGTTCTACAAAGTAGTATTAGTGATTTTCCTTTTTTCTGCTACAACAGACTTAGGGTTTATATCTTACTCTTTTAAATCTTATTCCTAACTTGGACATACACTATTCATTAACCAGCGCTTTTGGTTTTGATTTTAATTTGTTAGCTACTACTGTGTTGAATTCATGTAACGGGCAGCTGCTATTCCGTGCCACCAGATGGCGTCTATCAATAGTAACCTCCAAAACTATGACACCTACTCTGCCAGGTAATGATTTTAAAGAAACCAATACAGAAAAGGAATATATTCATTTATATACATGTACATTATGCATATATTCACTTTTTACATATAATTCCTTAAATATTGGGGATGAATCCAGAGCTGTCTCTAACTTGGCAAACCACTTTCTTTCCTAATTTTAACTGTCTTCTGTAACAACATTTTAAAGTTGTTAATTAAACTCTAAGCAGCCTCAAAGTGCAAGACATTTCACAGTACGTACCTGGAGACAAATAGGAAGTGCCAAGTCCAGCGAGGGTTCAGCTGCAGCTCAGAAAGCTGGGTCACAGGCCTAGGTCTTGTAGGAAACCAGTAGTCCTGATAGCAGGAAAACATGTATTCCCTTAAGTGAAATCCGAAAGAACAATGTAAGTTCTTAAATAACGTGCTAAGTTATTTAAGATTAATAACGTGCTAAGTTATCCTAAGTCTGAAAAAAAAAAATTCACTGGGGAAAAAATTAGAAAAAGTTGAAAGCAATATAGAGAAAATGACAAAGCACAGGTACTATCCTGCCTGTCCTCACATTTACTCATTCAAAAACTGGAGACTGGGCACCTTGTGGTAAATACTTTGAGGCAAGTCCTTGCTATCTCATAGAGAAAAACTACCAGAACATTAGGAGAAATTGTTCATTACATTTAAATCATGGAAGGGGATAGGTGTTTGGGGACATTTAAGAGTGACAAGGGAGAAATAGCAATACATTTAAAATGTTAAGACCAGGTAGCTTCTACTCTCCTGCTTCCATGTAGAAAGTTCAGTGATCATTCTGACATTTCATTGCCTATTTTATGGCTGCAGTTGTAATTTCCTGGGCAGAAACTTGAGCTTTGAGGGAGGTAAGGGAGAGAGACAGGAAAAGAAAAGGAGCAAACTGCGAGGGGCAGCAGGAAGGAAACAAGAAGAGTAACCGTGGATAGAAGTGCAAATTCTGTCCCTCAAATCTGAAAATTAAATATTTGAGAATACCTCTGATGTAGAGGTAAGCTCATATTTTAATTTCAAAAGGGTAATTAAAGGGAATATACACAAGACAAAACCAAAGCACCTTAGTACTCCTGATGCCAACATTTCCAGAAATTGAAAAATCAAGCATAGAAGATGCAAAAATGCAGGTTGACTGTTACAAAATTTCCCTGTCTTCTTTCTAGAAATGCTGGAAAGTGACTAAGCAGAGGGCCTGTGGCAGACACCATTTTCATCTTCTTATTAAAAAAAAAAAAATCAGGTTTTTTTTTGTTTGATTTTGCCTACAACTCAGTGGTCTAAAACCAATCTGTCAGTTTCCCCAAAGCCTGGCTCTCCTTCCTAACTGTGACCCTAGTGAAAAGGCACTGTCACTGCACTGAATATGAGGTCCATAGGGGTCTCTGCAGAGCTCTCTTTCTCTGCTCTCCATGACCCAACAGAGAACTGTTCCAGCCAGCATCTCTGCATGGATACCATAAAGGGATGCCAGTGTCAGTGTGCCTCCAACCCAAGTATCCTAGCACCTCTGGAAACTCCGCTTCTTGTGGTCTCAACTCCAGTAAGAGCCTACCCACCCATTTACCTGTCACATCATTTAGGGCTTCTCTCCGTGTTCCATCGAGCTCAGGGCCAGGCCCTTCCCTCTACTGCCTGCGTGTCTTTCCTGCACATCACGTCTGCCCAAGACGACAGTGACAGCCTCATAAATGGTTTGTCTTCCTGTCCCTAATCCACTCGCTTTGCTGCGGTGTCAGATCACTACCCTCCCCTGCTTCAGAACACCAGAGGCCCTGGTCCCTTGCCCTGCTGCCCTTCCCCAAGATGCCGCCTGGCTTTCTGGACTCTGCACTGACAGGCATCTTTGGGTCAGTCTACCTCCTCATTTTAACCTGCAGCCTCCAGACTTCTCTCTCCTGGCATCTCCCTCTCCGCTTAGCAACCCCCTTCCTCTTTCTAATGCTGACTCCTACCTAATGCTGACTCCTCTTTGTAACTATGGCGGGTGCAGTCTGTGTCCACCTCACTGACCACAACTGTTGGTGATGGAATTAAGTCCACCTGAGGCCACTGTGAGAGCAGTTGCGAGGCCTGGGATGAACCTGTGGCATTGTGCGAGACTACAGCCCAGAGGAATGCATTACCTGGTAGCTCTTGCCTCTCTGAGGATGGGAGACCTAGAAAATACATTGGGGTTTATGTCTATTATACAGGGTGGAATATCTGTTTCCTGGTGAGCTTGTGTGAAACATGGTCCATTATCCGGTCCATCTATTCTCTCCATTATCCTCCTAGCTGTTTCCCGGAGAAAAGATGTGAAGAGTGTTCCTTGAAGGTACATGTGTGTGAGTAATTACAGTAAAGTTCTCTCCAACTGTGCTTCCATACTCCAAATGCTTCGGGGTCACCTAGTGTGGTCACTATTGGCATCTTTTCCCCATGGAATCATGCAGAATCATCAATTGCTTCCTCCCAAAAGACAAATACATGAAATAAAGTACAGTACAAAGCCAGTATTCTTGGACAGGATTATTGTTATTCTAGTTGTTGATCAAGATTGTTTCTGATTGCCTGCTAATTATTTACCAAGCACCAGCACTGGTGCCTGTATCTCCAGGAGCAGGATGATACCCAAGCTCCACAGGATCGACCCAGTGTTGGGTGGGGGTCCCCACAATATCCATAGTTGCAACAATCAGCCAATGACTAAATTGTGGGGCTGAGTCGTTGACACCCTCCCTTCCATAGGCTATTATTTTCCATACTTCTCACTATATGCTTAAAAGAGAGAGAAAAAGAGACAGCTTTATCCATGCTACCCATCTACATACAAACCAGCAATACCCTATAAAGTGGAGGTCCCCATAAGTGCAGAGAATACACCACATTGCACTTCATTTACTCTTGCCCTGATCCTTTTGAGCTTGTAGTGGTTTACCAGCAGGAAACCACTAGAGGGGATGTATCCAGACAAGACAAGACAACATACAATTATCATCTTCAGTATTCCCACTTAGAAAATTGACTAGTATTCATGTGGAACAATAAAATTAAATTTGCTGGCACTTTACTCCCACTTCACGGATACAAAGAGGATGAGGGGGGTGTTGTGCGTTGTGGGGGGCAGATACCAAAGAGGAAAGTACCTCTCTATGCACCGGAAACATGGTTGGAGTATGGAGCTCATTCGCCCCAGACAGACTGTTTTCCTGTGTTCCTATAAAGAAAGGTTGGGACTCTCACTTTGTTTCATGTTCTTTGGAAATCAGATAATCTCTCTCTAGCACTTCCACTTAGACATGTATGTGTTGAACTCCCCCCAAACCCAGACACCATCAGGGATGGCCCACTTCATAGGTAAAATGGATTCATACCTGTTTGATGGTGAAAAACCTTGAAAAAACATGTGGCAGGTGATGAGGATATAAAACAACCCAAGGATAAATGCTCATTTATTCACTTTCTAAATTAACTCATCCATCGATCCAGTCATCCATCCATTTATCAAACACCCTCTGTGTGCTTCTGTGTGCCAAGCATTGTGCTGGGCACTGTGATTGCAAAAATGAATTCCAGCCTGTGCGGTGATGCATACATGTAATCTGAGCTATGTGAGAGGCTGAAGAAAGAGGATTGCAAGTTCAAAACTTGAGTACCTAAGCAAAATGCTGCCTCAAAATTTAAAAAGAGGAGGGCTTCTGCCTAGTGTTATGGTTTATATCTGAATGTTCTCCCACAGCCTCGTATACTCAAAGGTGGGGCTTTAAAAAGGTGATTGAATTTTGGGCTATTATACCTGACTTCCTATCAGGAGGTGCAGTCTGGTCAGAAGAGGTAGGTCATAGGGGGCACGACCCCAAAGGGTATATATTTCTTCCTGGTTTTTACCTTCTTTTGCCCAGGCCTTTCCACCATGCAGCTGGCCATACAACCACTGAAACCTCTACAACAATGAGGCAAATAAATTGTGTATGGTGGGTATTGTGTCTCAGTAACAAGAAAGTGGTTAGGACAGATTTTGGTGCTACAGAAATGGAGTCATTGATGTGATGTCACCTGGCCATGCAGTTGAGAATCCTTTGGAACAGGTTCACTGGAAGAATTTGGAAAGGTTTGGAGATGCCAGCTGGAGAATCGGCTCTAGAACACTATAAGCCAATAACTTAATGGGAGATTCTGGTTGAAACCCAGGAAACCAGAATGCTGATAATAATACAGATTGTAAAGACCAGGCCCAGGAAGCTTCAGTTGGGAACAGGAACTCCATTGACAGTTGGACTCCAGACCATGTGTATTATACTCTGGCAGAAATATATGTCTACATTTTGCTAAATCCTAAAACTTTATAGAAGACTGAGTTAAAGGTGGTGGATTAATTAATCCAGCAGAAGATATTTCAGTGTAGCCTAATGTTCAGTCTGTAGTATGATACTGCTTGCTGCTTTTAGCTAGGACTATACTGAAAATCAAGAGCAAACGGCCTATTTGAAAAGTTTCTCAGTTTCCTCAGAAAAGAAGTGCCTATACAATTAGAGCAGAGGGTTCCTGATATATTAACATTAAAAAGAAGTCAAGTACTTTACAACAGAACAATCTGGAAAGATACTATGAGCACACATGGACGGGGAACCAGCAAGGCCCTATCCTTAGAAGGTTCAAAATTGCAAAAGTGCAAAGACGGTACTTGGACAGCCCCAGGGCACTCTGCTAAAGAATTTGTTCCCTGGGATTTGCTTCATACTGGTCAACTACCCAGACATGCAGAGACCTCTGTAACCATGGTACAAGGGAACCCACCTATTTCTTTGGCTAGCAGCAGACCTTGTGGGGATGGAGAGGTTTCTGCCCATTTTGAAAGAGGCCTGGGAGGCTAGGCAGCATGCCCCTGAGAGGATAGTGCGTGAAACTGAAAGTGTAGTGGAGAGCCAGGAAGTTGGAGGTGCTAGGAATATAAAATGTTGGCTGAGGAGCCCTGCAGGCTGTGGGTAGAGCCACCTCAAGAGAGAAGCCTTGTAGCATACAATCTGGAAAGCTGTGGGTTGAGGCCACCTATGACAGCTGGAGCTTACATATTGCCACATCTTGCCTAGATGCTGGGCCTGGAGCTACAGGACTTAATGTTTGCCTCGCTAGTTCTCCTTCCTTCCTTTTGGTCCTGTTGTTCTCTAGCCCTTTTCCCCTCTCTTTTGGAATAGTGAAGTTTACCCTGTGCAATTGTATGTTGGAAGTGTTCAACTTTCTTTTTGATTTTTACAGGGGATCATAGGTAAGAGTTTGCCTTAAGCCTCAAGGGACACTTTGATCTTGGACTTTTCAGTAATGGTGGAACTGTTAGTACTTTGTCAATTCTTTGCGGTGGACTAAATGCAGGTTGCATAAAGAGATAGCCATGAGTCTTTTGGGAGGGCCAAGGCAGAAAGTGATGCTTTATATCTGGATGTCCTCCCAAAACTTCATGTACTCAAAGGTGAGGCTTTTGGAAGGTGATTGAACAATGGGGTGTTTTAGTTACTGTCAGAAAATGGGATCTCATAGGAAAAGGCAGGTCACTTGGGGCGTGAACTGGAAAGGTATATGTTATGATTGATACACTGTGTCAACTTGAGGAGTCTAAAGGCTTGGCTAAGTGACTCAGCAGTTCCGCATCCTGAGCCTGTGCAAGAGAAGGACACAGAGATCATGTGGGTGTAGGTGGATAGCCAGCATACAATATAAGGGAGGAAAAGAGGCTTGTTCCCCTCCTTCTTTGCTCTTGCAGCTTTTTCTGGCTTGTGCCACCTTGAAGTGTTGCCCCTGTGCCATGCCATCCTGCCTTGGAGCCAGCTGATTATAGATGAGACCTCCACAGACTGTAAGCTAAATAAACCTTTCCTTCCTTAATTCTGGGTGTCAGGTATTTTGTCTCAGTAACGACAGAAAAGTAACCAAGACAGAATATCATCTCACTTTAAGGCTCTTCCTTTCTCTCTCTGCTTCCTGTCTGCCAGGGGCTAAGCAGCTTTCCTCAACCTGATCCTTATATCATGCCTTCTTGCCTGGGAATCAGCCAACTATGGGTTAAAAACATGAGCCAAAAGAAACCTCTCCTCCTTTAAGTTTTGGGTGTTGGGTATTGAGTCTTAGTGACAAGGAACGTAACTAAGGCACCTAGCATATACAAGGCCAGGATTCAATCCTCAGGACCACAAAACAAACACAAAATGAATCCCAGTTCCAATCTCCAGTGGAAGAGACCCACAAGTGAATAAGCAATTCTA